ATATGGAATTTCAAGGGACCCCAAATAGCTAAAAACAATCTTGAGGGACGCCTGGGTGGCTCAGTCAGTTAAGTAGCTGCCTTTGGCCAGGGTCATGATCCCAGGGTCCTGGGATCGAGTCCCATATCAGGTTCCTTGCTCAGCAGGGAGCCTGCTTCTCCCTCTCTCTCCCTCTGCTTGTGCTCTCTCTGTCAAATAAACAAAATCTTGAAAAAGAACAAAATTGGAAAATTTACACTTCTTGATTCAAAACTTACTACAAAGCTAAGTCATCAAAACAAGGTAATATTGGCATTAAGTATAGACCTATTCACCAACAGAAAGGAATAGAGCCCAGAAATAAACCCCCACACATATGGTCAAATGATTTTCAACAAGGGTGCCAAGATTGTTGAATGGTGGGAAAGACAGCCTTTTCAATAAATGGTGCTGGTATAACTCGATATCCACATGCAAAAGAATGAAGGGCCCTTACTTAATACCACATACAAAAATTAATTCAAAATGGATCAAAGACCTAAACATAAGAGCTAAACTATAACTCTTAGAAGGAAACATAGGGGGGAAACTTCATGACATTGGATTTGGCAATGATTTCTCAGATATGACACTATAGGAATGGCAACAAAAGAAAAAAAGAGACGAAGTTGGATTTCATCAAATTAAAATCTTTTGTGCATCAAAAGACACCACCAGCAGAGTACAAAGGCAACCCACAGAATGGGAGAAAACATTTGCAATTCACATATCTAACAGAGACTAATATCTAGAAAGTATAGATAGCTCCTAAAACTTAACCTAAAAACAAATAACCCGATTCGAAAATGGGCAAGAGACTTAACTACTTTTCTCCAAAGATATACAAATAGCCAACAAGCAAATGAAAGATGCTCAACATAACCAATCATTAGGGAAATGCAAATCAAAGCCACAATGTGATACCACTTCACACCCATTTAAAATGATTGTTATCAAAAAGAACAACAACAACAACCCAAAGTGTTGGCAAGATATGGAGAAATTAGAATCCTTGTGGTAGGAATGTAAAATGGTGCAGCCACTATGGAAAACAGTATGACAGCCCCTCAACAAATTAAAATAAAATTACTATATGATGCAACAATTCCACTTCTGGTATCTACCTACAAGAACTGAAAGCAGGGACTGAGCTAGATATCTGTACACCCATGTTCACAGCAGCATCATTCACAGTAGCCAAAACATGGAAGCAACCCAAGTGCCCATCAGCAGACGAATGGATGAACAAAATGTGGCATATACCTACATTGGACTATTATTCAGTCATAAAAAAAATAAAGAGGAAATTCTGATATACTTCAAAATGAATGAGTCTGGAAGACATTAAGCTAAGTCAAATAAGGACAAAAAATGTATGGTTCCATTTATATAAGATATTTAAGGAAGTCAAATTCAAAGAGACAAAGTAGAATGGTGATTGCCTGCCAGGGATTTGGGAAGTTATTTTTATTGGTTAAAGAGTTTCAGTTTGGAAGGCAGAGGGGCATAGGGGAAGGGAGGGAAAATGAAACAAGACAAAACCAGAGAGGGAGACAAACCGTAAGAGACTCCTAATCATAGGAAACAAACTGAGGGTTGCTGGAGGGGAGAGGGGTGGAGGGATGGGGTAACTGGGTGATGGACATTGGGGATGGTATGTGTTATAATGAGCACTGAGTATTATATAAGACTGATGAGGGGCGCCTGGATGGCTCAGTTGGTTAAGCGACTGCCTTCGGCTCAGGTCATGATCCTGGAGTCCCGGGATCGAGTCCCACATCGGGCTCCCTGCTCAGCAGGGAGTCTGCTTCTCCCTCTGACCCTCTTCCCTCTCGTGCTATCTCTTTCTCTCTCTCTCAAATAAATAAATAAAATCTTAAAAAAAAAACAGAATAACAAATGGATTTTTAAAAAAAAAAAGACTGATGAATCACAGGCCTGTACCCTGAAACAAACAATACATTATATGTTAATTAATTGAATCTAAATTTAAAAAAAAAAAATAAAAATTAAAAGAAGTTCAGTTTGGGAAGATGAAAAAATTTGTGGAGATTAATATTGGGGATGGTTGGATAGTAATGTGAATATGATTAATGCCACTAATTATACACTTAAACATGGTTATAATGATATTTTTGTTATGTAGATTTTACCACACTTTTTAAAAAATGTCTAAGAAAAGGACACAGGGGTTCCCACTGGCCAAATTTGTGACAATTTGAACATCAAAAAGAATAATGACTATTAGTTTTAATAGAATTTTGAACAGTGTGAATTTAAGTGAAAATTAAGTGTTTATTATATCTTTCCGGTAAGAAATTTATTTCAAAATCACCAAAAAGAGTCCAGTGGTTTAAGAAAAATCCTACATTACAGAAGAACGCAAACTAATAAATGTAGAAGGAATGGTAGAATTGAAAAATCATTATTTTACAACACTTAATGAAACTTTTGATTAAGGAAATTTGGTTGACACCGTAGGTGAATGACTGGTAGGTAACTGGGCATTTGGATATATCCAAGATAACGTTACACAGATTACTTTCTGACCACAAGGCTAAACGTTAAGCTTGAATAGAGAGATCAGTCAGGCTACCTTAATTCAAAGGCCAAGCCTAGTGTTACCCAAATGTGGGGAGCTAGATGTGTCTCCTGATGAAGAGGGAGCCTGCCATACCTATGAGACCTTCTTACCAACAATCAGGAATCCAATGAAGCTTTAAGGTCTAACTTCAGTTTACGAGTGACACAAGAGCTAGAAGATCAAGCTAACTTATACCATGAGGACGCAATGTGATAAATCCAGAAGGAACAGTCTACAAGACAAAAGTTAGGGTAATGAAAAATGGAAAGTCAGTCAGGAAAAAAGAAAACTATTCTAATTTCAAAAAAACTCAGAGGGGCGCCTCTGTGGCTCAGTCGTTAAGCGTCTGCCTTCGGCTCAGGTCCTGATCCCAGGACCCTGGGATCGAGCCCCGCATCGGGCTCCCTGCTCCGCAGGAAGCCTGCTTCTCCCTCTCCCGCTCCCCCTGCTTGTGTTCCCTCTCTCGCTGTGTCTCTCTCTGTCAAATAAATAAATAAAATATTTAAAAAAAAAAAAAAACTCAAGAGATGTAACCAGATGCAGTATGTGGTCTTAAAGCAGATCCTGGTTTGGACATATTAGTGTAAAGGACATTTTAGGGACAACTAGGGGAATCTGAATAAGAATTACATTTAAGATGATATTAAGAATTTTGGTAGGTTTGAAAATGTTTGACTATGGAAGAAAATAATTTTCTTTCACCCTAGAAGGGTTGGTGAGAGCCTATCTGTTTTATTCACCACTATATGCAACTAGCATAAAGTAGGCACGTAACAGGCTCCAGATAACTGTCTATTGGATGGGTATTTCTGGGGTGCTCAGCCCCTTTTTCCTCCCTCTCAGTGATGGCCCTCTTTTATTTTCCTGATCCTTCACAGGCAAACTTCTTTGGAGATGCTTAAAATATACACCTTCAACACTACCTTGCCTAATTACTCCCCCACATTCAATTTGGCCCCCCATTTCTCCACAGAAACTGCTTTCATAAAGGTCAACAACCACTTTCATGTCACTAAGTCCAAACACTTGTCAGACCCCTTCTCGCTTGACCTCTTGGGAGCTTCTGAGACTCCCGGCCACTCTTCTGGAAATGTTTTCCTCCCTTGACCTTGGGGACACATTGTCACACTTGCTCGGTTTTTCTCCTCTTCTCCCTGGTCCTCCTTCCTCCTCAGTCTCCTCTCTAGGTTTCCCTTACTGGATACTTTCTAGGCAATCTTTCTCATGCTAATGATCCATTTAGGTTTATATTCCACTTATTCTTAAACCAGTAGCTCCAGGGCAGACTTCTCCTGAATCTTCCAGTGGCCTAATGCTCAGTCCGCTTGGATAGCCCAAAGGCACTTCAATGGACTGCATCTAAAACTCCTGCTCATCCTTACTCGCCCACCCACAGGAGTAAAAAACAAGCCTGTTCCTTCTCATCCTTTGCTTTCCCACAAAATGTCACTATTCTTGCCCAATGCTGCAAGCCAGAAATCTGGTAAGGTGTCCTGGATGGCTCCTTCACCACCTAGATGCGAGTTAATTACCAATTCTTATGGTGTCTACCTCCAAAACATGTCCAAGATCTATTTGGTTTTCTCTTTCTCCACACTCCCCTCCCTAGTTAGGCTGCCATTTTAGTTCTCATAGCATCTTTCCAGCAATTGCCTTGAATTCTGCCCACCTCTATCAGGGCACTCTTTACAAAATGCAAATCTAATCATGACTAATCACATTTAAATTCCTCAGTGGCTTCCTACTGGCTCAAGCCCTGCATGATCTCAGTAGCCACTCTCCCATCACTCTCTTGGCCTTAGTTCTCAGTCTATCTTTCACTTCCTCCAAGGTAGAAGCTTACTGTTTCTGGTCTCAGGCCCTGCAAACCCTTCACCCAGCCAGTTCCCCAGTTCCAGACCAAATCCTTAGCTGTCTTCTCAACCTCCTAAATCAACTCAAACACCTCTCCTATTCGTTCCTGTGGCCCCTGTTCTTCTCCTTAATAGTAATTTGTACACTTCCAATCATTCAACTATTTATTAATAAAATGGCATAATATCTTATAGTAAGCTCACCACTGCATTCCCAGGGTCTTGACAAAGGCCTGCCAATTAGTAATGTTTTCCTCCCTGCTTGCTTCCCACTGACTTCCTAACTTTTTCTTCTTTCCTGGATACTCAAGTCCCTTGACAGGGCAGGGCATTACCCCCAGAGCCCAGCACAGGTGCTAATGCTGGGTGAATATTAATTGCATAAATGACACATAACTTATGTCCGCGATCTCCCAACCCTCCCCTTCCTAACCCTATCCCTCACACTTCTAATACCTCAGATTTCTGCTTCCCTCCACCCCCAGACTGCACCCACCCTACCCCCGCCCGCCACGCCCGGCCCTGGCGCTGACTTCTGGACTCACCTGCACGAGCTGGTGCTGAGCCGGCTGCCACTGTCTCAGCCTCTCGGCCTCCCGCTCCATCTCAGCCTGGGATGGGCTGCACATCAGGACCGTGTGCGGGTCCAGGCCCACACCAGAGCACAGCTGAGACGCGCTGCCTCGGCGTCTCAGGTCAGGTGTCCTGCCACCACCACGCCACAATCACAATTGCCTAGCTCTGCTTCTACCTAGCACCGTGCAGCCGGGAGGGGCGGAGCCAAGGGCCGCACCCACAGACCCACCCATCAGCAGCCGCCCCACCCCGCCCGGCTGTGGCGGGCATCCAGGTCCTGCCCGGACACAGCAGGGTCACTAACAGGGGACCTCAGACCGTCACCACATCTTATGTCTTAAGTCTGCCCCCACCCAATTTACCCCACCCACCCTTCAGTCTGAGCATCTCTGTTACACTCAAGTAGGGGTAAGGACACCAAGGTTCCAGACTCCAGGCTTTGGAGACCTCAGAGTGGAAAAACCAGGGCAGGAGGCAGGAGGCAGCCGCAGACTGGGATGTAGGAGACAGGAGAACCTCCACCAGCACCCCACCAGGTCAGAGTTCTTTGTCATAAGCTCCCAGAGGCCTGCATCTTCTCTGCTATAAACGAGGTTCCTCTGTCCCTTGGGTGTACAGACCAAACAGTGCGAGCTCCGGAGCACGCGTCTTCTTTCCAGAATACTGAGCCTCCTGTGTGTCCGCACTGTCTTATGGAACTAGGGATACAACGGCAGACAAGACAGAACCAAGGGTCTTTGCTTTCAAGGAATTTTCATGTGAAATGGGCAGACAAATGAATATAATAAAGTCAATAGTTATAATTTTCTTTGGTGATGAGTGCCACAGAGAAAACAAACAGGAAAACGTGAGCTGAGGACTGAGTGCCTGAAAGGGACCTCCCCATAGGAAGATTGGAGGCATCTGAGGCAGGAGAGAGCTTGGCCTGCCAGAGGAAACATAGAGGGACCAGGTGACCTCTACCATGTGAGCGCAGGGGAGAGTGGAATGACATGATAGGGATGGTCTTGGAGACCATGGACAGCAGTTCAAACTTTATTCTAAGTGTGATGGGAAGCCACTGAAGGATTTTAAATAGGAAATTGACAGGATCTAAGTTTTTTTAAAAATCACTGGGCTCCTTTGAGGTGTATGGATTATGGGAGATGAGATCAAAGCAGAGACACCAGTTAGAAAGCTAATGGAGTCTCCCTCCAAGAAAGAGCTGTATTTGGTGAAGGGGGGGGGATGATGGCGAGTACAGAATATTTTAGAATTAGAAGGGAAAGGACTTGGTAATGGGTTGGAATGGTAAAGAGCTGAGAGGAAAAGAGGAATCAAAGATGACCCCTAGATTATTGGCTTGAGCAACTGAGTGATGACTGCACCATTTGGGAATATGGAAAGATAAGAAGAAGAGCAGATTTGGAGCCAGCTGAAACAATTCGATTTTAGGCATATTGACTTTGAATTGTCTACTAAATGTGCTCAGGGAAAGGTTAAGGCTGTAAATGTCAATTTGGGTGTTGTCAGCACAGAGATGGTGGTTCTAAGGCCATTAGAGTGAGTGAAATCAACTAGGGAGCTGGTTAGAGAAAGGCACGGGACAGAACCTGAGGATCTCCTACATTTACATTCAAGGTTCAGCAGAACAGAAAGTTCATCCAAGGAGACTGAGAAGTAACAGACGGAGAAGTAGGCGGAAAGTCAGGAGATTATATTTCAAGAAGCCAAGAGAAGCATGCATTCAAAAGAGGAACTGTACAACCACATCAGATGTTGCTGAGATAAGAACCAGGACTTGACAAGATGGAGATCATTGGTGACTAACAAAAGCAGGTAGAAGGCGCCTGGGTGGCTCAGTTGGTTAAGCGACTGCATTAGGCTCAGGTCATGATCCTGGAGTCTCGGGATCGAGTCCCGTGTCAGGCTCCCTGCTCGGTGGGGAGTCTGCTTCTCCCTCTCACCTTCCCCCCTCTCAAATTCTCTTTCTCTTCATTCTCTCTCTCTCAAATAAATAAATATCTTAAAAAAAAAAAAAGCAGGTGGACCTGGGACTCCTCATCTCGGAGTCATAGTTCGAGCCCCATGTTGGGCATAGAGTTTACATCATAAAAATATATTAAAAAAAAAAAGTTTTGCTATAAATGGGGGTAGAGAAATGAGGTGGTAGTTAGGAGGATTAAGGGAGGTTGAACAGAGATCCACCAATAAAGAGACACCGATATTGGGTGCCTGGGTGGCTCAGTTGGTTAAGTGATTGCCTTCGGCTCAGGTCATGATCCCGGAGTCCCGGGATCAAGTCCCGCATCGGGCTCCCTGCTCAGCAGGGAGTCTGCTTCTCCCTCTGACCCTCTTCCCTCTCGTGCTCTCTCTCTACCATTCTCTCTCTCAAATAAATAAATAAAATCTTTAAAAAAAAAAGAGACATTGATATTGAAGGAGATAGCTTAAAATCTTTTTAAAAAGGTCTGTAATATGCTAATGTAAGCTTACATGATTTTATGTTTTTTCTTTATTTTCTTATTGAGATATAATTGACATATAACATTATATTAGTTTCAGGTGTACAACATAAGGATTTGATATTTGTATATATCATGAAACGATAAGTGTAATTAACACAATAAGTGTATTTAACATCCATCACCACTATTACAATCTTTTTCTTGTGATGAGAACTTCAAGATTTATTCTCTCAGCAACTTTGAAATATACAAGACAGTATCATTAACTAGAGTCACCGTGCTGTACGTGACATCCCCAAGACTTATTTTCTTACAACTGGAAGTGTGTACCTTTTGACCACCTTCACCCACTTTGCCCACCCCTCTCCTCCTCACCGGCCTCCCCGCCACCTCTGACAACCACCAATCTGTTCTATCTCTGAGTTCAGTGCCTTGTTTTGCTTTTTGTTTAGAATCCACATATAAGTGGTATCATATTTGTCTTTCTCTGCCTGCCTTATTTCACATCATACTGCCTTCAAGGTCCATCCATGTTATCACAAATGGCAGGATTGCCTTCTTTTTATGGCTGAGTAATAGTCCATTGTATGTATGTGTATATACATTGGATGTATATGTATATACATGGCAGTGACCAACGTTTTGCAAACTTCCTGGTATCTTTTTTGCCATGTACAAATATACAGGTTATATCTCAATTTTTGTGCTTTAAATAAAAATGAGTCATTTTCAGAAATAATAAAAATCAGGAAAATTTTCTGAATGCATCATCTGGCTAAGAGGTGAAACCTGGAGTCAGGGCATGGGTTTCAATCCTAGTCACGGCTCTGGTTCTGAGATTTTGGAATGTGTGATTTAATTTTCCTGATTCTCCTGAGGGGTGCCTGGAGGGCTCAGTCAGAAGAGCATAGGACTCTTGACCTCGGGGTTATAAATTCAAGCCCCACGTTGGGTGTAGAGATTACTTAAAAATAAAATCTTTAAGAAAAAATAAAAATAAATAAAAAATAAATAAAATCTTTAAAAGAAAAAAGAAAGAAACCAGTCCCTGAGAAGATAAGCTTTGTGACTTATCAATGTTCCATTAATGTCATTATCTTATCAACCTCCCTCCAAGGCAAGGCAGGGCAGAACAAGCACCACCCGTTAGCTTTTTATTTAGAGCCTATTTTTTTAAGATTTTATTTATTTATTTATTTGAGAGAGAGAGTGAAAGAGAGAGAGCATAAGAAGGGGGAGGGACAAAGAGGGAGGGAGAAGCAGGCTCCCCGCTGAGTAGGGAGCCTAAAGCAGGGCTCAGTCCCAGGACCCTGAGATCATGACCTGAGCTGAAGGCAGATACTTAAGCCACTGAGCCACCCAGGTGCCCCTGGAGCCTAGAACACCAGAGGCTTGTGGGAAAGAGATGCTTACTCCGGGGGTCCTGCTTTCTGCTCCAACCTCAAACTACACCCCATCTTTGGCTGACTGTCCAACAGGCATGCCCCCCTGATTGCCTTATCATCCCTCAGAACCTGGGTCATTCTAGACTCCAGTCTTGGAGTTAATGAGCTGAGCCCCAGCCCACTGTACCCCTCCACCAGAGGCAGCTCTGATTCCTAAGCGTACCCCTTACACACAACACAGCACGGTGCCAAATGCCAGGCTCTACTGTAGGCACTTTTCATGACTTCTGTTCTGTCATTTAAAGAAAAGATTAGCATATCCACCTTATATATGTGGAAATGGATGCTGACTCAGAGAAAGACAGCCCCTCAAGTCATAGTAAGGGTAATTCCCAAGCCATAGGCTACTTAATGCCTCTAGAACTTGTTTCTTGGCTGGGAGCACTCTGCCCACTTGTCACTAGAGCTTCCCCAAACTGATTAACTCCTACCTGTCTTGCACCCCCTATAAGGTAGCCTATCCTGACACTCACTGGGTTAGGTGCCTCCTCTATGCTCCCACTGCCCCAGGCACAGATAGCCAATTGCTTTTGTTGTTGACAATGTGGTTTGTATTTATTTGCTCAAGAATCTTCTTTTTCTGGGCCCCTGGGTGGCTCAGTCGTTTAAGCGTCTGCCTTCAGCTCAGGTCATGATCCCAGGGTACCCTGCTCAGCCGGGAGTCTGCTTCTCCCTCTCCCACTCCCCCTGCTTGTGTTCCCTCTCTCACTGTATCTCTCTCTATCAAATAAATAAATAAAATCTTAAAAAAAAAAAAGAATCTTTCTTTTCTGCCTTCTCCCCTCCCACTCTGAGGCCCACATATACACACCCTGTTCTGCCTTTGCCTCTCTTCTGTGCTACTCAAAGTGGAGGCCATGGATGATCCCAGTTTGCAAACTTTACCAGTTTGCAATGAGATAGGTACAGAAATTGAGCGGAACATTTAAAATTCTTGTAGCTATTTGGCAAGTTATTTTTGTGTGTTGAATCTAATAATGAAAAACTGTGGCTTGTATTTTGTATGTCCTTTTTTTTTTTTTCCATTTTACTTTCCTAGTAATTGGTTTTCATTGTGTTTTAGAAAAGAATCCATCCTGACGGATTGGGGGTGGGAAAAAGTTCCTTCACCAAGATAGGTTGAGAAACATTGGTTTA